GCCTTAAATGTAGAGCCGCTACCGCTACTGAAAATGTAGCGGCCGCTAGTAGCGGCCGCTACATGTAGCGCGCTACTGCCCACCTCTGTTAATATGTATCAAGCATCTCTTGCAGATCAATTTTTGTTTGAGTGACTCCTAAAAATCTGTCCGGCGATCACTCCACTCATAAGTGCCGATGGGCATGAGCATGGTTGAACTAATATAAGGTTGTCCGACATCGATGACGATTTTTCGCCGTTCTGCGCAATTCTAGAGTGACGTCACTGCGGGCACAAAATGTAAATAGTGTAGATCAACACATTGTTTTTAATCAAAACCCCATCAAAATGCCCCAAGAAAATTTATTCACTGCATGCAACTAGTTTATTTTAAGCAAAACCGGTGTAACAAATAAGTTTGACTTCACTAGGTGACGTCACAAGAGCCAAGGTGACATCATAGTTGGAATAACAATTGACATCCACAAGGCGTAGCTGCACTAGGAAAAACCTTGCATTAGTTTAATCACGAAAAAAATTATCTTATTAAAATGGCCGCAAAAATTGATTTACTGCAGCTAGTCTCAATTTAAGCAGAACAGGTGTTTTAAATCAGTTTGAAACATACGGTGACGTCAAAAGGGTGGCTTCACAACGACCAAGGTGACATCACGGGTGGAATAACATATGACATCCGCAAGGCGCAGCTGAGCGTGGGTCAACATTGTATTAGTTCAACGATGGGCATGAGAACGTTCATTGCAGAAGGGCAGTGAGGCAGTGAGGTTGCTTAATCGGAATTTATAGGCAGCATATTTTATTGGATATTGAATAGTAGTATAAAGTGAAAATTTTATATATTGAGTGTGAAGGATCTGCTGAAAAAGAATTTTAAGCAAGCCAGGTTCAGGTAATTCGACAATAGAATATCTCAAACTAAATACTATTACCTTCTATTTCAATTATAATATGTTTATCACTGATAAATATATATGATATATTCCGGCACTACACCGCCAACGCTTGATACATGCCTCGCCATTAATACTATTACCTTATACTTCTATTATAATATGTTTATCACTGATAAATATATATGATATATTCCGTAACTACACCGCCAACTCCTGATACACGCCTCGGCATTAATACTATTACTTTATACTTCTATTATAATATGTTTATCACTGATAAATATATATGATATATTCCGTCACTACACCGCCAACTCCTGATACATGCCTCGGCATTAATACTATTACTTTATACTTCTTTTATAATGATATATTTATCCTTGAGATGTTCACGCAAGTAATAATATTACCTTATACTTCTATTATAATATGTTTATCACTGATAAATATATATGATATATTCCGTCACTACACCGCCAACGCCTCGACATTAATAATATTACCTTCTATTTCAATTATGATGATATGTTTATTATTGAGATGTTCAAGCAATTAATAATATTACCTTCTACTTCAATTATAATGATACGCTTATTATTGATAAATATAAATTATATAAATATAATAATGATGATATGATGATGTTCAAACGAAGTAAATAGAGTTGATATGATTCTTACAAGTGAATTGTACTGGCAGGGTGTAAATGTTATAACGCTCAATGCCTGGTATATAGATTGCTAATCAAGTAATCAATACGGCGTTATTTCAACACACATATAGGTACATACGTAAAGACAATGGAAAGCGCCCATTTATATGTCCGCTCGAAAAATAGGATGGTTATAACTTGGGATTAAGCTATTAGAACGTTACTATTTATTCGCAATAGCGAAAGAAATTTCATTATCTTATTCGTTTATGCGATCCTGACGTTGCTCGTGAAAGAGAAAATTAAAACCCTTCCTTCTATATATTTTGAATACATTAATACTTAGAGAAGAAAGACAGTTTTAACCTCCTTCAACAATGACCTTTAAGAGGATGTGGACTTGCTGTACACGCACCTGCCATCAAAACTACGTTTTAATAAATGAAATTAATACATTTTTATGAATATTTAAATAAAATTTAACAAAATTTGGATTTTAAATAATTCACAGTTGTTAAATAAATGCCTGATTTGTTCTGCCCAGCGCTTTCGCCAGTAGAAATACAATTTTCGATCCCGATAAGGATCTACAACGATATTAAACCAACCGATATATCACTTTTACAACAACAGACATCAAGAAATAGCAACGAGAGTCATTAAATCAACGTCTGTTATGTCATTCAATCAACTTCTATTCTTAGATAACCGCTCGCAATGAAATAATGCTTCAAACACCGGAATTAGGTACACACGAACTTCTCAGTATGGAGGGAATTACTGAACTAATGCGATCAGATATTATGGGCGGAGAGTCTATCATAAATAACAGTGGGAAGGGGCTCCGTTATCAGCGCGATATCAAAACGCGTGCGCAACCCCGATATCTTCGTACAAACGGAAGCCAGAAAGGCAGCATTCGAGAGAGAGATTACACAATCAGAAACATGGCTGACCAGAAAGGTAAATAGAATCAGGAAAAAAATCGTGACTGGTTAGGCTGTCAGCTGTGCGCTGAGCTCCAGACTGTGTGTATGGTGCTAGCTGTTTCTACCTCAACGAATTCAAATTTGCAAAACGCCATTACTTGGGTAAAGTAGTGCGAATTAACTCGGTAGAAGAGGCTCCCAAAACTAACTAAAAATATGTTGAGCTCACTTTATTAATAATTTTCTATCATATACACATATACAAGTCTGAAAGCAAGTTGATTCACAATATCAGAAACCAAGCGACATGATTTATCATGAATTCCTACCAGAACTCGACAAGTTTCCTCAAAGGCTCGCCAGCGCACCACAAATCTCACAGAAGTGAGTGGGACACAGCTTCACCCATCCCTTAGGTGATGTGTGAAACTCACCGGCAGACACTGAGGACACAGCTTCACCCATCCCTTAGGTGATGTGTGAAACTCACCGGCAAACACTGAGGACACAGCTTCACCCATCCCTTAGGTGATGTGTGAAACTCACCGGCAGACATGACCGACTATGGTACTTCAGCCCTACTGCTAATCTTTGTTTCTAATCTCATCAACACCGAAGACATTTTATGCGCCCATATACACAAAGCAATAAATAAATATATAAATAATTGTCAATATCCTGAATATAATTAATATTGAATAAATGAGCGCCGAGATCAGCCTGACAAAGTAATAATTAAATACATAAATAATAGTAAATATCACGAGTATAATCAATATTGAATAAATGAGCGCTAAGGTGAGCCTGGTACACGCACCTGGACCGGGTTGTGGTGCGAGGGTCGAGGCAGGACTGTGGAGGCAGCGTGAGGCAGCGCACGATCTTGTGCGATGCTTCCGTCACTACACCGCCAACTCCTGAACACAGCTTCACCCATCCCGTAGGTGATGTGCGAGACTCACCGGCAGACACTGAGGACACAGCTTCACCCATCCCGTAGGTGATGTGCGAGACTCCTGCAACCACGGCGCCCCCGACGCCCGTCACGGCGCTGCTCAACAGTCCTCCCACGCTCTCAACTCCTAAGGGGAGGCTCAACGAACTCATGGCCGCGTCTACTGCAGAAGTCCTAGAGTCTCTGGAGGTCTCGGCCACATCACGTGAAGTTACAACCTCATCCTCAGGATTAGTTTCCTCGGAATTTTTATTTGCGTCAAAAGGATTAGAAGTTCGGTCGATAGAAGGCTGAGCTGCGTCAGTTGATGAGATGGATAAACTGTACAAGCTGCTTACGTTGACACCGCTCAAGTTTGTGACAGCTTCACAAGAAACCGGGATATCACACACAGAATTAATGGTAGCATCACTTGAATTTATAGTAATATCACTAGAAGTTTTAGATTCATAGCATGAATCAATGGTCGTATCACTAGAACAAATTGTTCTATCATAAGAACTACTAATAGTGTAATTAGATTTAATGGTTTTATCACTTTCACTAGACACAATAGTTGTTTCAGGGGAAATTGAAGTAAAGTCACTGGGTTTCAGTGGATTGGCGTCATTTGATATTGGAGGAGACTTCATAGCAGCCCTTGAAGGGCTATTGTCGCTTTCTTTACTACCTGTACCTGACATAATGAAGGCATCTGGAGGAAAAAAAGCAAGCAATTAACCATAAAAAGTAGCTTTTTCACACTTAATTACCAAATAAATTATATCAATAAACTTTCAATCAAAAATTTGTATTAGCAATAATATTTTGGTTAACATGCTAAAATTTAAATTCACAAACAATTCGTCTAAGAGAAATTTGCCTTTAACATTTTCCTCACCTATAATTTGCTTTGGTCAATATGAAAATTGCATGCAAGTATATACTGGATTGGAGTTTTAGCATCAACAAAAAAGCCTCAGATTGGCAGCAGATTTACAGGGGCTTGTTTTATAGTTTTACATGATAGATAAATATATACTGATTGTCAGGCTGGGATTCAAGGATAGTGTATAAAGCTTGCCATTTTTGAGTGGATGAGTGCCCATCTCCAGACTGATTGGTTGGCAGGATTGTGATGTCATCCATTTCAGACATTGATTGGTTGTGTCCAATACGCTATGTGTAGTACTGGTTAATTTAATACCCCTCTAGAATTCCAGCCTGCTGCCTGTTATGCAGCTAATTTACTTTCACACAAAACCTCACTAGGTAGGTCTTATGAGCTCTCATTTTACAAAGTGCACAAGATAAAAAAACTCTGGCAGAAAATATTGAAGGAAAATGTACTAAAAATTTTAAACATACAATAACTAATGTATATTTTTAATAAAATCTGCTCAATAAATTTGCAAGAAGATGAAGAGTGTGATGTTACACACATGAAAAGCAGCAAGTTAAGTACAGTAGCTTCTGCACTAACTGGAAGAACTGGGATATTAAATGTATAAATAAGCCTGTTCAAACTGAGCTACATGCTTTCTGAGTAAAAAAAATACCACTTATCCCACAGAATGCCTAAATATTATTTTGAATATAATTGAATTCTGTCACACAGCAAGGTAATGCAGTGCTCACTGGCATCACTGGTCTCACTGAACTACTGGCAACAAAATCTGTAAAAAGATTGAAGCAGGAAGTAACAATCAACTGGATCTTGCCTGTGAATAGGGCATGGCCATATCTCCATGACTTTATATGACTGGGAAGTGTCAGTCAAGTTGTCAATCAAATGTCAACAGCTGTCAATCAAGTGTCAACAGCTGTCAACCAAATGTCAGTTGCATGGGGCCATCAACATCAAAGTATTACTTTCACATTAAAGAAAGCATGTACTAAATATGCCAGTATGAAACAAAACATACTAAATGCACCAAAACTTTTAAATTTGAAGGAATGAAGTATATTTTAGGAAAATACCGAAATTCGGTCATGCCACCGAAAACTCGGTGGCATGACCCAGATATACCTCCTAAATCCATCATTGTATGCTAGAGCCCAATTTTGCAGCATGTATGAAAATTAATACATTCATCAAGAAAACAAAATTTTCAGTTGGGGCTGCTGAGTGGTTACTTATGTGCATTGTTAGTAGACAAATGACTTCTTATCTAATAATTAACAAAAGTACATGATTGGCCAGCAAGACTCCAAATTTGTTGGTAATACCGTCTGTCACTTTGAAGCCACAAAATTCTATAATTGGTAAGATATTTTCAATCTTGCTTGTGCTTGCAGACATTATTGCTCATTCCAGCCCATTTAAGAATCAGACCTACTATTTAATTTCTTCAATAAAAATTGAGAGAGATGACAATTTTTTCCAGAAATTTTCATAAATATACTATAAAAATATATGCTTTAAACTCTTCATTTTTGAAGAAATTGATCAAGAGTTAAGGGGAGCATCTTGGTCAAAAATAGAAAATTCTAGTTTTTCTGTTTTTAGTATCATTTTAAAGGTCCAAAATGTGCACATCTAAAAAGCTTAAAACCCTGTTTGTACTTTCATTTGTTAGTTCACGACAGCCGGCAAAGCGCAAGTAAGACCTATACCTTCAAAGGCTACCATTATTATCAAAAGTTTCAGTGTTTTAGTGCTCATGAAAAGTGAAAATTTCAATCTTAAATAAAATCTTATCTTAAAAAAATTTCAATCTTAAATCTCCTCCTTCGATAAATTTAATAAGTTATATATATACAGCATTGAGAGATATACCATTTGATTTGTAAAGAAAAGATCTAGAGAATGATAGTAGTTTTTTTTGTAATTTTGATATAGTTTGGATTATATTTTGCAAAAAGGAGGAGGGAAAGGAAAGGAAATAATAAACGGACAAAAAATCCCCCCTCCCACTCACAAAAATAAGAATTTTGAAAGAGGCTACAACAAATTACTGGAAATGAACAAAATGTATATCATATATGTATCTTTACACATCGGATGATATGTATCTCTAATTCTCTATGGTGTACCTTGAAAATCCTAATCTAGTAGCTTGAAAACCCCCCTTTTTATGCCTTTTTCTATGCTTCTAGGAATTTACAATTTTTTTGCATTTTTTCAAAAAATTTGCATGAACAAGTCTTACATTTCTGTTTTACACACATATAGGCCTACCAAGTTTCAAAATGATCTGTCCATAAATAAAAAAGTTTTTTGACTGAAACCATGAGACGCTCCCCTTAAGGCTTAATTAATCTGTGCAGATTCAGAAATATTGGCTAGAATTTTTCCAAACTGCAGGAAAAGACNTACATGAACAAGTCTTACATTTCTGTTTTACACACATATAGGCCTACCAAGTTTCAAAACGATCTGTCCATAAATAAAAGTTTTTTGACTGAAACCATGAGATGCTCTCCTTAACTTTTAAGGCTTAATTAATCTGTGCAGATTCAGAAATATTGGCTAGAATTTTTCCAAACTGCAGGAAAAGACTATCATTTAACAGCAGCTTCAGAATGAAATTAATGTATTCCTTCTTTAGCCAGACTGGGATAATGGGCAGGAGTCACCCGTACAAGAGCAAAAATCACCCATCAACGACTCGTTGACGCCTCAACGGGTGATTTTGCCTAAAGAATCTTTAGGCTGCAACTAGCCTGAGGCTCTGAGCTAGGGCTGTCACTGCTAGTATTGGTGTCACATAATTTTTTATTTTTATTTTTAGAGCTGCAATATTCCTGCTAGATGAATACCACCTATTTGTTACCAAAAGTGTATGATTCATAATGATTCAATGAATCTTTTTGAATAACCTATGGAGTATGGATTGGCACCATGTCAATGGAAAATGATTAATAATAAAAGAATAATAGCTAAATTTCAGGCAGCTCAGCATTTGTTAGGTTATAGGCCTGTTGCCAATTCTTAACAACGCAGAACATTCATTAGCATTTTGTGGTCTCAAACTTGTCAGTCATTGGATCATTGCTACAATTCTGCTGTGCAAAAGTGCAAAACTACCGTCTACCTGGCCTCCCTGCCGATTCTGACCAGAAACTGCTGCACTGCAAAGTGCAAAGTGCAAGGAGCCACTGTGCAGAGAGTGAACGAAGATTTAAAGACCTACGGCGACGCATTATCGGCAAAATTTTCGCCTTCAGAAGATCTTGCCGACACATTTAGATTGAAATTCTTGCATTTAATATATTTCTCAGTCTTCAGAGATGTGTATAAGAGACAGACTACACCTGAAAATCAAAAAGTAAATTGCCCCCCTAAAAGTAAGCGACAAAGTGTATTGCAGCAAAGAAAGAGTCACCAGGGAGCCAGCAGCTCATCCAAGAGA